ACTGTGAGAGACATTTTTTTTTTTTATATATATATATATATATATATATATATATATATATGTTTATTTAGATTAGCTTATTTTATGTGTACAAGTGTTTGCCTACATGTGTGTATGTGCACTGAGTGTGTGCCGGGTACAGTGAAAGGCCAGAAGAAGGCATCTGATTGCCTGGAACTGGAGTTACAGATGGGTGTGAGCTACCATGTGCCTGCTGGGAACCTGACTCAGGTCCTTTACAAGTAACTACTGAGCCATCTTTCCAGCTCCCAAAAGCACATCTCTTTTTCTAATCAAAACAGTCATTCTGGGGCCGGAGAGACGGCTCAGTGGTTAAGAGCACTGCTTACTATTCCAGAGGTCCTGAGTTCAATTCCCAGCAACCATATGGTGACTCACAACCCTTCCACTGGCCTACAGGCATTCATGCAAGCAGAACACTGTATACATAATAAATAAATAAATCTTTAAAAATAAAAAATAAAAAATATTTTAAAAAAAAAACAGTCATTCTGGGCTAGTGAGGGCACTTGCTGTGAAGCATGGTGATCTGAGTTCCAACCCCAGGACCCACGCTGGTGGAGGGAGAGAATAGGATCTTACAAGTTGTCCTCTGACTGCCACATGAGCACTCTGGTACACAAAACAATCATACACAAGCACACACACACACACACACACACACACACACACACACACAGAGAGAGACACTCATGTACATAAATGTGAAAAAGAACAAAAAAGCCAAACCCCCAAACAGCCAATTGTGCTTATTTTGGATTTACGACTTATTACCTACATCTTTAGGTGTGTTTTCCAGAGTAGATTAGATTGAGACTAGATTTCATTCTGTTTTGTTTCTGTGGAGCCAGTGTGAAGAAGGCAATCAGTAAGTTCGTTCCATGGAGGAGTGAGAGGTGGGACAATGGCAGGGTATGGAGGGCAGACTGGGTATGCAAAATGTCCAGGAAACAGAAGGAATGACTCTCAGGATGTGGAAGTGTAGAGTCAAAGGGGACAATGAGATGTCTCCTTTGGGACCTCTGGAGGATGCTGTTCTTCGAGATTTAAAACTCAAGGAAAAATGTGGAAAAAGAGGAAAACTCTAGTGTAGACCGTGCGTTAAAAAAAAAAAAAAATCAATTGAGCCAGGCAGTGGTTACACACACCTTTAATCCCAGCACTCAGGAGGCAGAGACAGGCGGATCTCTGTGAATTCAAGGCCAGCCTGGTCTACAGAGCGAGTTCCAGGACAGCCAGAGCTATTACACGGAGAAACCCTATCTCGAAAAACCTGATTAATTAATTAATAGTTGATTAACTCCTCAGTTCTACCAGGTACCACACTAAGTGATGGTGACCCTGAGGCAGACAGGTCAGAACGATTGAGTTTCTTGAAAAAAAAAAAAAGTAATTCATGGGCAACCATCCCAAAGGTGATGGTGTGTTATGGTGGGTGGCATGACTGGGTTCTCTTTAGGTTTGTAGAACCCGGGAGGATCCCTCTGAGTGGTGTGTGAATTGAAATTTAAAGTTTGGCAAACCCAAAAGTGACAAGCATGTGTGTGAGAGCATCCTGGAATATTTAGATATGAGGGAGAGACACATTTCACTCTAAGGACTAGGTGAGCCACTGGTGGGGTGGCTGAGGTCATAGCCACAGGTGACACAGCTGTCTGGTTGCCCAGGAACTTGGTGTCTCTTCTAAGTCACCAGGGGCTGTGGTAGAGCATTCTTTTAAACAGAAGGAAATATGGTCAGGTTGTGTTAAGAATCCAATGCTGGGGCCGAGCCAGATGAGCTTGGGCAGAGCTGGAGTGGGAGGTGAGCATGTCCAGGCAGCAGCAGAGGCCTCACTGCTGTCTAGAAGGTTGTAATTGAAATGCGCTGTACCTGGCAGGTTCTGGCCTTGTTAGCTCTGTCCTTTTTCTTGCCCTGCATGGAAAGGTCTGCAGAAGAGTGTGAAGTCAGGGTGGGAGGCTAGCCCAGAAGCAGACATGATGTAAGGGATTCATACAGGAGAATGGGATGGAAAGTAAGGAATCCACAACACTGGGAACCGGGGGTGGGGTGAAAGGAGGAGGTGCAACTGGAAAATAGAAGACAGCTACATTTCTATCATTTGGACTATGGTTAACCCTAAAGAAAACCATTTGTCCATCCATCCATCCAATTTGATGCTGGGCATACAGTGGGCAGATCCCAGAAACTGGCTGGAAAAGATGTTCAAGACGTGTTTTCAAGGAGAAAAGCCAGCTGCTAAACAGCAATACATACAGCATGGCATGGTGTATGCAAAAATAAACCAGAAAGAATCCTTCACTAATGTGCAAGTAGGTGCTTAGAGAAAGTGCTGGAGAGATGCAGACACATGGTCAGCACAAGAGGCACCTAGAGTGGGGTGGTGAGGAGGGATGGGGTGGGAGTGAGGGGGAGTGGGTCATGTATTATATCTCCCTTCTACTTCTGCGTTGTGTGGCTTTTTCACAGTAGCTATGTCTTCAAGTTTATTTCTACATTTTAAGACATTTTTGAAGGCTGTCAAGGTTTTGGTTTTTGTTTGTTTGTTTGTTTGTCCTTGTTTTTTTGTGAATAGCACAGAGACCCGGTGTGTCCCAAATATTCTCATTTTCCCCTATTCTGCCAGGCATAGTCCCTTCCTTGTCACCTGCCACACAGGGAGGCCATGCTTCACGCCACCACAGGAAGAGCCAACTTTGAGTCAGAACTTTTTCTCTTCAAGGTTCAGTGTGATCTGAATGTAAACGGAGCCAGAGTGCAGAATTGAATTCCTGAGTAGCCTTGCCTTTCTGGGAGAGGTCCTCTTCTGTGACTGTTCTCCCCTGGGTGAGCCAGCAGCCTAGACTGCCTGCCAGGACTGCTACAACAGTCTTGTCAAATGGAGGCTGGCACAATTGAAAGTCACCGGGTTCTGGAGGCTGCACATTCCGGTTCCAAGAGTCAGTGATGTTGGTTCCTTCCTAGACCTGGCTCCCTAAGCAGACCCTTCACCCTCCTAAGGTCATGTATGTGTGTGTGTCTGGTCTAAAGTGCCTGGCTTCTTCATGTAGAACAGCTATTGCAGGGTGAAGGTGTGCCCCCAAGGACCTGATTTGAAAGGCCCTGTCTCTAAATACACTGACACCCTGAGGTACTGGTGCTAAGCACTTCTGAACAGAAATCTGGGTGGATGCCATCGCTCCTAACAGAGAGTCTCTAAATCGTTTCCTTGACTTGGTGCTGTACTCAGTCCCTGCCACCCTGGGCCCTGGCTAGTGTTCCTTGCACGGGCACTCGGGACCAAAGGGCTCTGAGAACATACTAGTAAAAGAGGCGTGATTGTATCTGTGGCTTGCCAGCCACACCAAGCAACTGAAAATCCCCAAGGGGACCGGGCAAGGCGTGATTTCCTGACAGATAGCGCCAGGAGGGAGGAGCACACACAGCATGCCCTCCTCACCCAGTGTCCCTGCTGCCAGGCTGCTCAGCAAACACCTGACTACTGCTTTTTCTTTTTAGCTCATGCCTGTGCAGCTCTGCCAGGAGGAAGCCCAGGGCAGGAGCCGCGCCAGGCAACGGTTGGCACGATATGGAGCGCCGGAACAAGATGGAGTTTTTCCAGAAACTGGGCTACAGCCAGGACGACGTGGTCAGGGTGCTGGGCAAACTGGGTGACAATGCGTTGGTCAACGATGTGCTGCAGGAGTTGATCCAGACTGGTAGCCGCCCAAGGGCCCAGGAGGATCCAGCCAACAGCACCGGGGTAGTGCTGACACCCCGGGGATGCTGCGGGATCCGGGACTCTGCCCAGCAGGGCCTGGGACCAGGCCTGGAAGAGGCTGGTGGAGACCCAGCCAGCTCCCTCCGGCCCATAGTGATCGATGGCAGCAATGTGGCCATGAGGTAGTGTCCTTGTTTTTCTTCATCCTATTGCTGGGCGCTGGGCAGAGACCTTGCTCTCAGGAGTCCAGGGAACCACTTTTCTCTCGGTGATTTGGTCAGAAGAACTTTAGGCACAATGGATGAGTTTTTAAAAACTATTGCACAAAATAATAGGTTTCCTGATGACACAGTCATATGTGTATATCGCATACTTTCCCATAGTCCCTTTCCATTACCCCTTTCATCTCACCTCCTCTCCTTCCACTGGTCTCCTTCCTCCTCAACAAATAGCCCCTCTTCTATTTGTATACACATACATAAATCTCAAATCCATATACATGCCATCTTTGACTTTCTGAGTCTGGCTTATATTGCTCAAGAAAGTGAATCTCAAATTCCATCGGTTTTCCTGCAAATGACACCATCATCATTTTTATAACTTATGCTCTATTGTGTATACATACCTTGCTTCTTTTTAGTATCCATTTGTCTGGTGGTGGGTATCTATAACCAAATATTGTAAACATGGGAGTGAGAGCATCTTGGTGTCAGGATTGATTTAGATTCTTCTGGGCATAGATAGATCAAATGGTTCTAATTTTACTTCGTTGGGTTCTTTTTCTGTTCTTTCGTTCTTGTTGTTCTTACTCACTTATTTTAGATCAGGCTTTGAATCCCTGTTCTCTGTCTTAGTAGCTGTTGCTGCCTGTGTTCTCCCTCCCTAGAGGGGAGTTATGGGAATCTGAGCTTCAAAAGGTGCCTGCTGTAGTGGGCTCAGCAAGTTGGTCAGTGACCATGTTCACAGGAGGCACAGTCTTAGAGGGAAGGGAGAAAGTGATTGGCAGGAGCTCAGGGCTAGGCGTTGGCAGATATGGCTCCCCTGGAGTCCGTCCCCAGCCAGCTGCGTTATTCTGGGAAGCCAAGAGTACTCAGTTCCTCTCTGTGAAGAGCAGGCCAGTAGGTCTCTACTGTCTACTTTAGGGCTTGAGAACCAGAATTCGAGAAGTGCTTGGGTTGTGTTCAAAGCCCTCTGCTGGGGGCTGGTGGAGAGGCATGGCGGCAGTTCCCATTATGTTGAAAGAAGGAAGGGTCTGTGGCCTCTCCGGTCCCAGCCTTGAGCTGCGGATGGAGCTAGGTCAGTCTTTGTAACTTGGCTTCTCTGTGTGCTTGGGGATTCCAGCGTGATGGCGCGTGTGGTTATTGTGCCTGACTTGGCAAAGCTCCGCTGTGGCCCAGTCTCCCAGGCTGCCACGCTGAGAGCTGGGTGAGGAGGGCATTGCGCAAACTTGGCTGAGTTACAGCTGGGCAGAGGGCAGAGCCATAGGAAATTGTTCACTCGAAGCTATAAATACTCGTACTTCCCTTTCTAAAAGCTGAGTAGGAATTCCGAAAAGCAGT